GTAAAAATGACGCTAACCGTGAAGAGTTGCTGTTGTTTTAGTTTGAAAACTGGCGGTATAATTATTGGTGCCGTTGGCATTTTGCTAAGTTTCATCGTTATCTATGTTTTTGGCCTTATAGACGCTCACAATGTTAGTGTATCGGAAAGCCGTTTTGACAGCATCATGAACGTGTTGAAAATTATGCCATTTAGTGAGTGTTGTTTTTTGTTATTTCTTGGAAAAATCAAAGAATTGAAAATCAAAGGATTGGTAGAATTGTTTTGATTGAACTTGTAATACCTATAAATGTAATGTACCTATAAAGTGGTTCCTTGGTTTGTAAACATTTTTTTCAGCCGAACATAATAATTTTAATCCAATGTTGTGTTTTTTGTCTATTTGAATAATTTCTAGTCGGCGTCATAGTTCTCGAAGTGTTTTGGATTTACGGCATTCTGAGGGTAAATGGATTGTACATCAAAATCGTTTTAATCGAAAACATCGAATTGAATCTTTTATAAACTTATCGTTTTCAATTAAAGGTGGCAAACGGACGGACGGACAGAGGACGAACATTTCGTGTTCGTCCGTCCTTTTATTGATTTGGGACAAACGGACATTTGTCCTAATGTCCCATTTCAAATTGGGACAAACGGACAAATTTTTAAAATGACTTATGTAACTTCATTTAACTAATGAAAACAAAAATTGAGTACCATTCGATTGAAATGGGACATTAGGACAAATGTCCGTTTGTCCCAAATCAATAGAAGGACGGACGGACGAACAAATTTTGTCCCTTTGCCACCTTTAGTTTTCAATAAACTCATGTAAAATTAATCCAATCCTTTACGACTGGCTCTATTGTTTATGCATAATGATAATGATTCACGTTCGCACCGGTGCTCGGTGAAATGTATTTCAGTCGGTTTGGACTGAATCATTTCGATCACACAATGTGCGACGCGCATTTTGCTGAACGATTCGTAGTACTCATACCACACCGCATGGGATTGCACAAGAAATGTTTATGATATTTATTCTTCACTCAAAGATTTTTCTTTTTTGTCGAGAATAATTCGAAACATGTTTGTAAATTCCGTTGATTTTTTTCATGGTGCGGCTGTTGACACTATATTTTCCTATATTTCGAATTGGCGCGCTGTGTATTTCCGATTTGAAATGTTAAATTACATTGATGTGCCCTTTGAAATTGGGGGCGCTCGCGTCGCCTCAAATGACTTTGACGTTCAACAGCCGCCACACGATTTTTTTGCATTTCTCATATAAATATCTTGATTTCATAGGAGAATCCAAAGCCAATGTGTCCAAAGCTCTTTGTGTCGTTCTTTGCCCTCTGTATTCTTGTTCCACTGCCATTCGCCTCACTGTTTTATTTTTCAATCACTAAGGCGGATCCAGCCACGGGCTCAGCTATATTCTTCTTGCTATTTTGCTTAGCAGGTAAATTGTGCATTTTTCATTCAAATTTTAACATTATTCATGATTTGATGACCATTTTGGTTATGAATCTTTTACATTTCTCCCTAGGTCTGGCTTATTACGTGTGGATCGTACAGTATTCCTTATTCAAGTCGATAAAAGAAGCCGAATTTGCCAAGTATTGTACATAGGATGGAGAGTTGAAACGTCAACAAGTCAAATCCAAGTAGAATAAACTTTATTCAATGAAATTGGCGTTTTTTACAAACAAAATTCATATTTGGAATTGCCTTGTTAGCATTTTAAATCATTTAAATTCAACAACGGATCAATTCTTCTAATGACTCGTAACTAAGCACAATTAACAGCCGTAGTTTTCAATCAAAATTTGGATTAAATTTTATTTAGTGAAATTTGTGTCAAGTTCCAATCAATACAGGTTGAAAAATAAATTTAAAAAAGAAAGAAATAGTCAATTGACCTTACTCGCAGTCTATGAAACACACAAATGTTTGAGATTAAACTTATTGTTAGCATAAGTTAGAATAATTGTTTACTAAAACTAAATGTACTCTGTATACAAAGCCATATCGATCCAAAAAGGCATCATACATTTTCCAAAGCAATATAAATTCAGTGAAGAGAAAACATTTATCTGAGAAATAAAATAACGTTTGTTCAATAAGAAATTTCATGTTTTACTTTGTGATTCAGAAAATTATTCGAATTCATTGCATTATTGTACTTCTAAAGAACATTCGAAGTAAGTCCACCGCTGTTGCGATATACTGCAGTGCTCTAATCCTGATTATTTTAAATAAAAAAACGTAAATGCAATTTGAAATTCAAGTCGACTAACATGAAACATTCAAACGACGATTTTTTTTGTCGAAAATAAAGAATTCTCTTCCCATTTAATGCAAAATGAGTTCAATGAGATTTGGACATCTATTGTGTTTTCGATGTATCGAGGTAATTCAAGAGAATTGAAGACACAAATTATGTACATGTAAACATGGCCAATGTTTTACATCCAATTTTCTTGCAGCATAAACTAATTGAGTTCGTTCGCCAATAGCCGTTGACCCCATCGATGCTCTTTTTTCCAACCAATTCAACAAAATAACCCGCTTTTTTCTCTTTGTTGCGTGTTTGTTTCTGTCACACTTTAATAAATAATAAACCAAATTTGTATGTCCCCTGTGTGGTTTATTTATGTCCGGTCATCAGAAAAGTGCTCCATTATATATTTATCTGATGTGTACATTGTACAACCACACCCAAATATCTAAATTATTTCCAAAAAGCGTGGACACAATGAGTAATTGACTCGTGTTGTCAACAGGTTTGATTTTATTGATTCAAAAGGAATTCCTTTCGACTACACCGATAAAATAAAAATAAGCTGCCAAGTTTATAGCCACTTCTAAAAACAATTGCTATGTGTGCTCTTCTTTTGAACGACAACACACCATGTGCCCAACTATGAAACATCGTCTATATCAAACATAGATATTAAGTGTAGGCTCGCTCAATGAATATCGGAATCATTTTCTAAATAAATAAAATTCTAAATTTATGTTACCGGCAAATCACCCCATTTTCCAATCATCACAATCATTTTAAACTTCTTCGAATAAGGGAATTCGTGTTGGCCTTCATATTTTATGCGTTATTCTTTCATTTCATTCATTCAGGGTTGCTCACTTTAAAAAAATGCCTTACTGTACGTCGGATCACATTGTTTTCAACAAAAAAATGTCTTCTTTAAGGTGTCTTCTATATTTATGCCCTTTCCACTTACTTCCAAAAATAGACACATTTAAACAATAGATTTGATTGTTCTTTGATTGAATTAATTGTGACGCTATCAATTGTAACATTCACCTTCTAATCCAGCATGACTGAAAATGTTATCAAAATCGAAAAAAATGAGATACAAGATAATCTTCAACTTACAAAATGTAGGCGAAAGACGACATGATTTGGATTTGGTTTTGAACTTCCCTCATTTGAATAATTCAAATTGAATTAAGCTAATTTGTTCAATCAAAAGGAAATAATGGATTGCATTTTCACAAACATCTCTCGATGATGATATGAATTTGATTAAATGTAGCTTCGCTGTGGCTTGTGGCGAGAGCTGCGTCTAAGGCAAACTACATGCTACTAGCGCCACACTGAAATACATTTGATTTGCATTGTACACGTAAGCGGTGGGAGTTCGAACTATCAAATTACAACAACAAATTACACAGATAGGCGCATCCCTCGGCTTGTGGTGTGAGCTCGATGTTCATTTCTTCGAAAATGAGTAACGAAATATCGTACAAGGTTTGTGATATTTAGTTTTACCGACATATTTTTTCTTCATGTCCGTTTTCTTCATCACCTTCTGCTTAAATTGTGTATTTACAAGGACATTTAAACTGACTCTCCCAGCTTTTTCTCTCTCATTCTAACGGTCACACAGACTCGTTTCTTTGTGAATGGCTATTAGAGTGATAGAGATGTCGTTCACAGAACTCAATTTTAATGTTCTTTGGCACACAATTTGTGAATCAAACATCAAAATGAAGTCATAATTTTGAACATGCAGTTTACAGAACTACCGATAACCGTATACTCAACGGAATGGGCAGATTTACCGTTGATTTACTAAAAATACATTCAAATTGAAGCAAGCAAATAGAAACAAAAACTCACAAATAAGGAGAAATCGAAATAGAAAAACAAAGCCAAAAGTAACAACCAATGTTTTGAATTTCATGTCAAATAAAAGCAATGTTTCACAAACAGATTTTTCATTGTATTTTTCTCATTTTTTAAATAAGAGCTCACATTTTCATTACCAGTCAATCTGTAGCATAAGTATCTGTCATCACTGACACTGACAGCTATTGTTCATTAGTATTAAGAATCGTACAATAAATCAGTCGTTTACCAGCACTCATACTGTTCACTCATTCACTGCGTTACTACAAGGCTGAATGTCACAAAATCTGTTGTATCGGTGACTTTGATTTGAAAAAAACGTTTGTTGTCAGCATCATTTGTGCTTAAGAGAAATTTTCTTCCAGTTGATTAATAAAAATAATTGATAAAAATGGTAAAAGTTAAAAGAAATACTAACTGTTATTGTTTTATTTTTCATTATATTTTAAATTGATTACTGTATATAATTATTTTGAAGCCAAAGCAACAAGATGTATTTGGAAAATTGGTAAATTTCATCAGCGATCAGCTTCCTGAAAGCATCATCAAAATATTGAAGGCAACTTGGCTATACGACAGAAACTATATTAAAACTCATTAACGAGGAACGAATTAATAAGATTGAAGAATATGTTCGAAAAAATCGTTTCATATTAAAAGACACGACCTACGAAAACAACGATGATTTTGAGTTTTTACCTGGCCATAGAGTTTTACTTTTGAATCTGCCAAGTGAAATTAAAAGAATGGAAAATGTCAACAAGGGTATACAAGAAATTGAAGTGAAACAAGCAAATTTGTCGCAGTTCTCTTTCATATTAAAGGCGCTCATCGATACAGCTGAATCGAATTCAAATGGACATCCAAATGGGAATAGATTCAATAAAAATGTTCAGGATTTCGCCACTTACATATACTTGATGTGCGGTCGAGCGTACTATGACATCTAGATGTAAACAGCGTGTCAGCGTACAGAATACTTCAGTATGAAGTATGCGAGTGTATTGGCAAAAGAGCAACGCTTATGCGCGGTATTCGTGGCAATGCGCTATTGTTCGTAAAATGTGTTTGTTTATTTTTAAGCAAATAAAATGCGCATACTGCGAATTGTTTACATATAGCAGTGCGATTGACAAATATAATATTTTAAACCGCATAAACGTCGCATACAACGCATCGTTTTCGACTTAAATGCCCCTAGGTAAATACGAAGCAGTAGTAATCGAACCGCAAGCCATAACTCAAGCTATTTTTAGAATTTGAATCTGTGGTTTTTACGACTTTGCTTTCTGCGATTTAAACGATTTTTGTTTTTTTGTTTTGTTGTTTTTATTAAATTCAACAAATGTTTTTCATCATGAATACACGACTAAAACTCCGATGGGAGTTCAGTGGCTATCAGAATTCCTTTCGGCTTCAGTTCAATCAGACATTCAACAGATAATTGTAATAAAGTTCGGTGCGGTTTTGGTGTTAGGTACTGTAGTAGCTCGTTTTTTTTTTGAATCAGTTGAATATTTGATTTCTGTTGTTTTAGTGAAAAAGAAAGAAGAAATCGTTTCGAGTGTTAAATTCGCCTGTTGCTAACTGGATAGCAAGAACAATGGAATAACACTAAGTGACTGAACTCAAACCCACGCCAAATTATTAAAATTAACGACGAATGTTTTATTTTAACAAACAATGATCAGAATGTTGAAATTGAAATGAATAATTAACCTAATCTCAAGTGAAACCTATTTGACTTTTTTCTTTAATCTTTCAGTGTTAAAATTTTTCATTCGAATGATATTTTGGACATTTCAAGGTCTCACCTGGAACCACCTTCTACCCAAATAATCTCGAAATACAGAAAAAAATCCAATTTTTCCAATTAAAATCCGATTCGCCAGTAAAAATGACGCTAACCGTGAAGAGTTGCTGTTGTTTTAGTTTGAA